TGTTTTTTGAACATTAAAGCATGTCAACATATTCTGTTACACCAAATACACAAAATAATGATCTTTAAAAAAGCATCATATGACCCCTTTAAAGTTTTCTCACAGGTGTATGACACATGATGTAGCCCAGCGGTTAATCCTGTCCTCGCGCCAGCTCGTTAGAAGTGAGCTACGTGCATGAACTGTGTTCCGATCGATATGATCCCTACACAGTGTTCATTGCTCCCTACTTCCTGAGCAGGGGAAATCCGTTGAAGTTTACTTCACTTCGGAACATGGGCTGGAATTGGGAACCGCTGATGTAGCCTATTGTAGTAATGTTGTCTCTGGTATTCTAGTCTGTGAGCGTAAATGCGTTCAGGGGGCGTGGCTTTGGATGACGATTGCAGGGAGGGTGGGACGTTCGCTTCAGTGCTATCAGGCTAAAGTTAGCATTTTCTAAGATCTCCTACTGCACCTTTAAATACAAATATCCACTTAATCTTTAACTTTTGGCCAGCTTTTTGCTATAGATGACACAGCCTCTATAATTTCTTCAACAAAAAAAACATGTGGACATCACAACCCTTACAAAAATTAACCATGGTTTTATCGTAGTAAAACCGCTTAATTTTCTTTTGTGTGATTTCTGAATGCTTGAGACTATAAAATCAATCAGACAAGTGTATTAACAAAATCATAGCAATAGGTATCTGTCTAGAGCTAAACTTATAATTTGTAAATAATACAATTACATTTTATTTATTTACTTTTATATTTTATTAAAGTTCTATTTTGACCCCTATAGTATGTGTTTTTTTTACTTCCATAATATTTGAGGGAGGGGGCACAACAATTAAATCCTGCATACTGCTTAGGGTACCGATTTGGCCAGCAGCGGCCCTGACCTTGAGATATAACTCAACGTTGTTGTAGAACATTGTTGTGTATAATGCCTAATCATAAGCTTGTTCAGAAACGGTGACAAAAACTTGATTATTAAAAAATAACGTCTTTCTTGTTAAATGTCATTTAAATAAACGAATATTCAAATTTTCGTTTTTTATGAGCACAAATATTTGAATACAATACATATATATATTATGAAACAAAAAATAAATAAATGAGGCTCGATCATCTATTAACACACGTGCGTTTTATTTAGCACTTCTGTCAGTGAACACGCAGTCTGCAAAACACTAAAAAAATATCAAAGAAATAATACAGTTAAATAAGAAAATAGCCTTAAATAAGAACGTTATAAATACACCTTGTCTACTGGACGCTAGTGGCGCGGCGCGGCGCGGCATGACAAAATAGGCTATACAACCCATTATAATCAGTGATGTTGTCTACACTGGATGCGGTGCGACATGACACAACAAATCCCCGACAGTAAACTGATGCCTCGTCCTATTTATGATGTACTGACACAAAGTTCAAATGTCCTGTAGACAGACTCAACTTGTTGTGTTGCGACGCAGTGCGACAACTGTCCAGTGTAGACACGGCTCACTGTTCCGCCACCAAGCAAGCGGGTGCGTTAACTCCTGCTCTGCACGCACTCTCTGTGGAATAGAAATCGCGGCGTATGTTTCCACATTTCTTTTTAGCATCTTCCATTTACGCTGTCTCGTAACATGTATTTGGCCAGTTTGGAGAAAGCCTCACCAATACAAACCTGACCAGCCGGGCGTTTGCGATCACGGGTGACATGAATGGAGATGGCTCCAGATCGTATGTATTGTATTATGTACAATGTATTTTTGTATTAATGTATTAACCAAATGTATTATTTGGTTTCCAACAAGGTCCATCACTCAACATGAAATTAATTTGTTGAATGCAGAATAAACTGTATTTTCCTGCACTTAAACCTGCCAATCTAAAGCATGATCTAAAGGAAACGCCGTATGGCATTTGCGGTCATTTGTGAATTAACATAGACTTATAGTCTAAATAAAACAACAACTGTTACTGTTATTACACTTGTATACAAAAGCTTTGTATCATGCATGTTGTAGATTGTGTGACGTCACGTGCACTACCGCCGGTGGCAACCAACCACTGCCGTGACGCGGTTGTCACGGCAACCGTCACAGCCCTATATCCCACCTGGGTGATTTGGAGAATTCCGATTGGACGACTGCTGGAAGCTTGAACTGATTAGATTTGATGGTCTGTGAGAAGGGCTGCAGTCAACATTGTCCTGAAGAGAAAAATGGAGAAGGTCAGACAGTTCAAGTAGGAACATAAAAAATATATATGAAGAGATGCATGCGAGATGATGTCCCTTGCAACTTTGTGCCATGACCAATTGCCCCCAATAGTTCATGAGAATTTTAGCCTATAGTGTGCTAATGTGGATACTCCTAATCGTTAATGGAACCATTCTCCCCCAAAATGAGGATATTGTCATCACTTGCTCACCCTTAAGATGTTCTTGTATGATTTACTTTCTATCAAGTAAAAAAAAGAACATTTATTGAAAAAACAAATACTGGTCATTCTTCAATATGATGAAAGTGAATGAGGATTGAAAGAAAACAGGGCTGCTCGATAATGACAAAAATATTAATCACAATTATTTTGGTCAATATAGGGATCACATGATTGCAATATATTGCATATATAAATATATAGCTATATTTAAATAAATAATACAAAAAATTATATAAAAAAATAAATATGTTGAACTATGTTGTAGTGCACTTTCATAACCTACTGAAAACTACTAAACATTTAGGGAAGGGTGAAAGCACAGTGCTGTCAAGGAAAGGGGTTCACTGGATTCCTAAGAGAACACAAAACAAGAGCGAAATGGGATGCGGCACAACAATTATTTTATCATGATTATTTTGTTTTCATAATCATTGAAAACAATAAACTGCATAGTAAAATTTGATTAATCATGCATCCCTAAAAACTAGGAACAATAACCTTATCATAAAAGTGGTCCATACAACCTGTGCTCTATATTTCAAATCTTCTGAAGTCATGTGATACCTTTGTGTGAGGACCAGATTGAAATTTACAATGTTACTCATTGAACATTTTGACATTTGAATTCATGAATTCAAGTATCAGTGATTTCTGATTCATGATCATGAGTGAATAATTTTTTCTGAATCGGATCTTAGTTGATCAGTTTACAAAACCGGAATGAATGATTCACTCATTGATTGATCCAGTTTTCACTGACTTAATGATCTAGTCACAGCAGAAAACAGCTCACTAGATGGGAAGATTATCAGTGAATAACAACCTAAGTTTTGGTCTATTTATCACATAAAATTATGTAATTAAGTATGACTTGGAATATAGTGCATGAACCATATGAAATCGTTTTATGATACTTTTATGATGTTTTTGCATTTACTTTTTAAAGCTTAAAAGCCCCAATCTCATTTTGTGTTCCACTATGTGAACAACATTTCTTTAAAGGGGTCATGAACTGAGAAATCAATATTCCCTTGAACTTTTGACATATAAGAGATCATTGTACTATAAAAACATCCTGTCAGTTTCAGAACTCAAAACTTTCTCGCTAGTCTAAAAACAGCTTTTATTGAAGCCAATCTGCCAAAACTACAGGTTGTGGAATGTGCCACTTTATGACATAAAAATGTGGTTAAACCCCGCCTCCGCAGAGGAAGATCAACGTCTGCTGCTACATCACTGCCTTTTTAGCCCCGCCCACTGATTTACACACGATCTGACAGTAATGTCGCACCACACAACTGTGAGTAACTATTTTTATTATGTGGTCACTATTGGTTTGTCTGATATTACAGATCGTTTGTTATGTACAGAGTATTTATGCATTTTTAACCTAAATCACAGCAGCGTCCATCTGTGAAGGATGTAGGCTGTCAAACATACACAACTCTCAATCATAGCAGTGGGTGTTTACTTCCGAGTCTACAATCCACCACGTCTATTCAAACAGAGCGTTCTGATGAGGGGGGTCAAAACAGGACAGAAAAATAGCCTATTACTTATAAATTATGATGTTTTTTTATGTAAAAATCTTGATAACATTATAAGTAGACCTTAGAGAACAGTACACAATAATAAAAGGCAGTTCATGACCCCTTTAATGTCATAGTCAACAATCAGTTATAATTTAGAAATGAGCAAATACTCCAATATAGATTTGATCTCTGAAATAATACATCAAGTAGGTTATTTATTGGGAAAAGTAAAATAACATGTTTATAACAATAACAAGTTATATGTCCATAACCTAAAACAAATTGATGCCAATGCACAAATATACAGTATAGCATGTGAAACAAATGCAAAAACAGAATCAATGTGAGCAAAAAAAATATATAATGCATGTCTTTGGCAGTAGCAATTATATGCATATATGTGTGTATGAAAGTCCCATCCATCATTCCCAATGCATCAACATAGAACGACGAACAAAAAAGGCAAACTATGCACACAGCAACGGCTTTGCTCTCAAACCACACACAATATCTCACACCATATAATTCAAAGCAGAATGCACAAAGCTGGAAGAAGTAGTCCAAGAAAAAAAAAAGATAAAAATAAAGCCACATTTTCAATTTCCAGTTTTCTAGGAAACCTAAGAACATGGAAGCCGAAATCCAGGAACTAGCCTCTGCCAGAGGTCCCCATGCTCTCTTTTCTGCCTGCCTTCTTTCTATTTCTCTTCTGCTCTCTCTTCACACTGCACCAAGCCAGCCGGCTCTCAGAAAAGAGAAAAACATCTATAAAAACGAGAAGGGAAATTTACAGCTCTGAGAAAGCTTCTCTAATGCTTTAGCCCGTGTACAGTTAATCTTGCGCAGTGTTAAAAGACCAGAAAAGTCAACAAATGCTGCACACCAACACCAACAGAAAGATTTATTTTATTTAGATTATTTTAAATTCAAATTGTAAAGGCTTTTTACATAGTTTTACTCTCTTCAAGCAGGCTCTAAAGTGGAACACACCAGGATCTGTAGCAGGGGATGACAGAGGAATGCGAGAGGGTGTGTGTGTTGTATTTGGATGGGCTCCAGGCCTTGTGTCCGTTATGTAAACCTTAACCCCCCAGCTGATTCCACGGGGCAACAAATGCGGCGAATTTCCTAGGAAGGCAGGTCACGTGACCCATGTAGAGCCTTGGCTATTGACTAGGCTAAAGAGTGGTTAGAAAGCCAAAGCATTTTGGAGTTGACCTCTGACCTCGAAAGCTATAACTTGGCCATTCTAGGCACTGCTGTGATACACAAACACATTGACAAACATAAACACTACTCGACTTTCCCATTTGGCTCTTGGTGACCAGAACTCCCGGCTATAAACCTGAAACACAATTCCAAGTCTCCTTTTGACCCATGACCTCTGACCCTAATCAACATCCTCATTAACTACAAGCAACTTAAGACTTGCAACGCTCCGTGTAACTTATCCCTAACCATAACTAAAGAGGAGGAGAAATAACGAATGACAGACTGACTGAACTAAATTTGCAGATAAGATACTAAGATACTTCTCAGATAAAAATGGATAAGAATACATAAAGAGAAATACTGGGAAGGAAGGAAGAAAAGAAAAAGGGAGTGTAGACCAAAAAAAGAGTGAAAATAACTAGTAAGAAAATATAATGATAAACCGATATTAAAATTCTGGCCAATAACAATAAGCTGATACATTTTTTCATATCATAGCAATAAATGATCAATATTAAAAATTCTATTATATCTTCTAAATATATAAATGAACCTAAAAACTAAATTTATTTAGGCATCATTATAAATGTACAGTATGATATATAATGTACAAAATAAAAAATGTATATACAATTTGAGATTTGCTAACGATTACATTTAACAGCGTTTTTTTAAAGGTTAACTTAAAAATATCATAAAAATATATGGGAAAAAAAGCATGCACAATTTCAATAATACTGATAAATCTCTGAAAAATAAATAAACTAATTAATTAATTAATAACAAAAAATATCTCTAAAATCACCAGCATCATTATGGAGCGCTAAACTCTCACATAATGTTTCATTCATACTCGACACCTGAGGGAGCCCTCACACAGAAAGTCCACATGACTCATAGGAGTAAAAAAAACTTATGAGTTCCAGGAAATCCCTGTAGGCATTTTGGTGTAATTGTTCTTTTTGTATGCAATGTTGTGATTCATTGGTCAAAAAAGGAAAAAATAAATAAAGATGAATTTGACTGATAGCATAGTTTATTTATTTATTTTTTTAAATTTCCATATAAATCACAATATATCATTATCGTGATTTTTTGTGGCCACGATAATGGTGTCGTGAAAAATCTGATATTGTGACAGTCATAATTAAAAAATCATACACATTAATAAATATCCGTTGTATTTCATATTATAATTAGTTCATTATTCATATTATCATTTTATTCATTTTTATCATTATCTTTGGATTAATTTCAATCCAAAGAAACTTGATTTTTTGTTTTATTAATAATTTAATTATGTATTTAAAAATATATTTAAATATTTATTTAATGATTTAATTTTAAGTAATTTGGTCGTTCGTAGAGATATGATGCATCTGTAATAAATAAATAAATGCTAAAGTAGAATATGGCCCCTTTAATGCTTCAAAGAGAAAAAGAGCAGAACCACATTACAAGCCAGGGTGCCTGAGTTGTGTATGCCTAAAGGGAATATTTGGGCTGTGTTGCCCCCCTGCTTGAGAAGATCCAGGCCAGGTGCCTGTGGCTCTGAGAAACCCCTGCAGAGTTATATACGGCCACAGACAGAGGGCGGCCCACACCCCTGCCTTAACTGTATGCACTCAAGCTCTGCCACGTTCACAAGCACCAGCCACTTGTATAGGCCACCCGGGTGGGGGCAGGGAAGAGGTGGGAGGGTCTGAGAAAGAAACAGTTTGTGGAAGCGCTGGAGAGTTTATAAAAGTTAAACGAAAGGAAACATATCAGAGAGATTGATATATATAGAGAGAGGGCTGACTGCATAGCCCAGGTATAAATAGCAACAGCCGCCACTTTGCATGTCAGCATGTCAGCTGTGCGGCACCATGGCAATCCCATGGTGACGAAAGGCATGCGGACATGCCACAGAACCCTTGGGAACCGCTGTGCTGAAGCGGTGAGTCCCCTCATGCTGGTTTAGGAGGATTTGTGCATGTGAGCGTTCAGGTTTTCCATGTATATTCCGTTTAAAGAGTCATTACAGCACAGTCAGGAAACACTGAAAACTTGAAAGCTCTGTAGACTCCATTGCTTCAGAGGGAGCAATACAGATACTGCTATACTAGTCTTTACCTGGTAGTTTGGATGATGGAGGAAGTAGTCTGGGCATCCAGCTAAGGCCATACTCAGTGTCCCCGTAATTGGTGTGATTGGTAACATGCACCTCCAAACCCCTGCGCAACAGTCCGAGAGAAAATGGAGAGAGACTTGGTTAACATCGCAAAATTACTGAATCATAGTTGGGATCAACACTAAAAATGAGAAACTAAATGAAAATAATAAATTATGACGACCCCTTTGCAACATTTAGATTAAAAATTGGTATTTTGTTTGTGAGCAAATTTTCATTTTTTAATGAATTGTTTAAGGGAATAAATCATAAACTCATATTTTTGGTCTCGCTTTCTTTGAAGCTTGTGACAGCTTTCCTGCTTTCAAGAAATTAAGTGTGGTAAAGGTAACTTTCATTCGTTGGACTTATTGAACCAATATGTAAACAAACTGAATCAGTGAGGCATCTTTGAGCGACTCAGTTGAGTGAATGATTTGATGATCACTCATAACACAAAAGACACACTTGTCACTGTCACCACCTCCTGGTCTAACAATGTAAGTTGCAAAAGTCACTGAACCATTCACGAAACTAAGCCAAACAAATCTTTTTGGTGAAGAGATTCAAAAGATTCCAATCACTGAGATAAAATCCCCACTACTATAATGTTAAATGCATATATTGGTAAACCATAACTTATGATTAACAAAATTGCTTCTGTTTTGCATTTTTACGATATAACACAGATTTCTTTTTTTTTTTTACAGTTTATATTACAAGCAGATTACGTTACCAGAGAAAAGTCTATTGTTTCACCCGAAAATTGAATTATGACATCTTTTTTAGGAATTATTAGTTCAGAAAAAAATAAAATTTTCATTTTACGAATTTACTGAATTTATTTGATGCCGACTTGAAGTGAAAATGACAAATTCTTAGAATTTCTTTGGAAGTCTTTTTAGCTTTAATGACAACAGCACTCAAGCTGTATGAACTCCACAAATTTGTTTAAAACCATGATCATGTTATCCTGCGTGATCCAAAGAGCTTTTTTGTGCTCCAGTAAAAGCAATGAAATCTGTTTAATCAAAGTTGCTTTTCAACTCATTACTATGCTCCAAACTTATAGTATACTGCTACAGATATACTAATCAGAGCATGTGGTAAAACAATCAAGCACTGATAGGTATGGGCAGTTTGTGACTGTAATACATTGTCCGCTGTAGCACTTTGACAGCCAGCTTGTTTGAGACAGCATGCTACATGACTGAATCTACTACTTAAAATAGCATTTCATTTCAAACTTATCTCGAGAGAGCTGGGGGCTGTGCTGTGGTAGGGCTTAAAGTGAATTGGGAAAGAATGAAAGAAAGAGCTGGAGAAAGACAAAAAGAGTAAACTGAAATACGAGTTTTGATTTCAATCCTGGAACTTTTGGATACAACATGCTTGAAAGCACCGAAGCACTTTTTGACAGGGTACTTTAGCACCGCATGAAAGTCCAAACTGAGGATCATTAAGCCCAAACGTGTGGTGCTCAATGCTGGATTCAAGGCACAATCCTGGAGCAGCTGAACAGCATGAGCACAGCACCAAAACCTCAAATTAACATCCAGCATTGAAAGACCGTTCAGGCCCGCTATGCATCAATGGCCAAGCTCATTATACTGACAGAGAAGAAAAGCGACACTCATTCGTGCACATACACAGTGATTCTTGCTGATGATTGAGACCGTACTCTTATAGGTTACTCTCTCCTAGGCCAGCAAAGGTAGTTCAATTAGGTGCATGAAGTTTAAATTTGAGTAGTCAGAGGGTTCCCTGAAAGACTAGTTGATTAACCTAAAGTACACATGAAATCAAAATTGACTATATTTATTTTGTTAGCGCACACTGCTATTTTTGTGGTAAACAATTCATCCATGCAAGTCAATCCACAAAAAAAATAAAAATTGTTTACCTTCGTAATCTTTAATCCAAATCTGAAAATGCACCTCCCCTCTGAAATGACGGACCTTCTCTGATGACGTCAGTTTGCTGCTTGAGCATAACATCCTTAAACACGCCCCTCCAACTGTCAGTGTTGTTCTGAATGAAACTCCTACTTTATCCAATCAGTTTGCAGTAGAAAAAACAAGCCACGGCCTCTGTTTTTCTCATCCAATATTCCGTTTCTCTCAGAAGTACGTCACAATATAGAAGTAAAGTCGGTCACAACTTCCGGTTCACGCGGACCAAAAATCAGGCTTAGTAGCCAAATAAGACTGATTCTTGTGTTCAAAAACAGACTATTAAACATCCTAAAATTGGTGGTAGATTGGTTTATCTAAAATAAGCTAAAATTGGTTTATCATGATCAGTCAATAATAAAACCAAATACTACATAACACACACACATAATATCAATAACTACACAAATTTACTAAAAGCCAAAGAAAATAGATATGTTTTGAGCTTCACCTTAAAATCATGTAGCGTAGTAGCAGTTCTAATGAAAACAGATAGACAGTTCCAAAGATTCGGAGCAGCAAAAGCACAATCACCTCTTAGTTTCAACCTAGCCCGAGGAACATTTAGGCCCTAGTAGTCTCTGGTTGGATGACCTCAGAGATCTTACTGGATTGTGAATGGATAGTAGGTCAGAAAGGTATTCAGGTGCTAATCCATTCAAGGATTTAAAAAACAGTAACAACACTTTCAAATCAATTCTGTAATGGACTGGAAGCCAGTGCAGAGAAATTAAAACTGGAGTAATGTGCTCTCGTTTCCACACAACTGTAAGAAGCCTGGCAGCGGCATTCTGTACAATCTGAAGGCGGGAAAGAGATGACTGATTAATGCCCATATAAAGAGAATTACAGTAGTCTAGTCTTGTAGAAATAAATGCATGAATCACCTTTTCAAAATCCTTAAGAGAAAGAAATGGTTTTACCTTAGCTAGGACTCGGAGATGGAAAAAACTGGTTTTGACCACAGAAAAAATCTGTTTGTCAAATTTAAGAGAATTATCAAAAAACACACCCAAATTCTAAACTCATGGTTTGACAAATGGAGACATCTGACCAAAATCTAGACAAGAGACAATATATATATATATATATATATATATACACACATACTACTGTGCTAATTGAGTTCATTATCTGAACATGCTCCACCTTTGCTAAATTGGTTGATTATCAAAACGTGCTCCTCCCGAACTTTGTTAATAAAACATCATAAATGGTGGTAGACGCAGCTCAAAGACCAAATACATCCATTTGAATGTGTTTGGCTATAGCAGTGGGACTTTAAAATGGATAAATGTCCCATGCACATTGTCAAAGCACAGCACATTGTCCTCCATCTCTACCAGAAAAGAAGCCTTGCATGTGTTCAAAGAGCATGGTATTGTCTAGAACGTCTGGACATGCTAAACACTACACGCTAAACCGACTGACTCATGTGTCTGTGTCATAATCTGAAAACCACATGCCTTTGGTTGACAACAATGAAGTCATTTTAAACAGAAAATACTGATGAAACTTGTGAAATTGCCATGGTTGAGGTTTTAAAGCCTGCGTGAAGTCCAGATGCATGACAAATCGACTTTCCGTAACTGCTTCAGTGCTTTTTAAGTTCACCAGGGTTACTTTCTCTGCATCATCTGGTGATTCGAAGAATAAAAAGAGACAGAGGACCTAACTTGATGTTGAAATCTACTGCAAAAAAAAAAGGAGAAAGACGTTCCAAGTTCAAGTGGTTCCAGTTCATTTACCTTCACCTCTCATAGTTTTGAGCTCTGATTGACAAAGGCTCTATTGTTGTCAGTTACGTAATCCAACCTGTTATTGTTAAGATATCAGACACTACATGAAGCTGCCACATACCGATATGGTCCACCAGTGTTTTGGGTAGCGCTCCGCACAAGAACCGACAAGAACCACTGTGTATAGAGCAAAGCACAACCAGACTTGATGAGAAATATACACAAAGCTGTTATAGGGCAAAACTCATTGTTTAGAGATGGGTGAAATGCTTGATGTATCAGGGATCCCACCACTTCATGTCTTCTGAGGAATTTCAAGGCCTAGATGATAATTCCAAGAGTGTCCCCTCCTCCCTTTAGTAAGTACATAAACACAGGTCAAGTGCCCCTCTTTCCTTCTTAATAGAGTCTTAGCATTCTTTCTGGAATGCTCAATTAGGTGAACAAGACAACCACTGAAACCTACGGTCTTTTTTTTTTTTTTTTACATCAAGAGTCACCCACCACCATCGGTCAGGAAATCCTGTAGAGAAAGCCAAGTCAACCAGGTCAAATGGATCCAAAAATGACAAGATAAAGGTGCCTTAAGCTTCACGTCTACTGCAACTTTGGCTATTCTAAATGCAAACAAGTATTTTAATGTATGCTGGGAAATGCCAGGATGCATCATCCAGCTCCTCTTTACATCGTAGTTGTACAGGGTTGAAGCTAGGCTAATCAATATGTTGGCGTGAAAAGTGGTACACGTGTAGACTTCAATATCCATGTGAATGATAATGGCTCAGAAAGAAACATTCTAGTCTTTTTAGCTCTACTTACAGTAGTGTACTATATCTGTCTGTTATGTAAAATCCAATGAGTGACAGTCCAGGTGGACTGTACTCTTAAATTTCTGGCCGATACCGATTAGCCTATAACCAATATTTTGTCTGAGCTACATTACTGCAGCAGACTTCCAACACACCTGCTTGTAATTTTTAAAGCAACCCTGAACACCTTGATTAGCAAAAAAAATTCACACCATTATAATGTACAATATGAAAAATAGATATTCATGTTTAGATTTACTAAATATTACTTAAAGGGGTCATATGATGCGATTTAAATTTTTCCTTTCTCTTTGGAGTGTACAAGCTCTTGGTGCATAAAGAAGATCTGTAAAGTTGCAAACACTAAAGTCTCAAAACCAAAGAGATATTCTTTATAAAAGTTAAGAGTTAACCACGCCTACCTAAAACGGCTCGTTCTAACACGCCCCCACATACCTACGTCACGATCTGGGAAGATTTGCATAACGCCTCCCAAATATTCACGCAAAGAAAGAAGGCATAACTTTTATTCTCACTGTAGTATTGTTGACGCTGCAGCCATGTCGTGAAGACGCT